TTTATTTTTATTTCTATTCTGGGTGATAATTTATGTGATTGTTAATAGAAACTATTATAATATTGCTGGCAATGTATGTCTGCTTATTATGCTGTAGAGTAAAGAAGAATATGAAGCATCAGTTTGTTTATGTGGGAGCCAAGTTTACCGTGGGAGCTACTTGAATCTGACGGGTGAAGGAGCCTTTCAGAAGGTACAGGCTTGAATATGTTTTTCTTAATTGTAATTTCCAAATCTGAATATCACATCAAGTTTTGTCAACTAGACAAAACAAAAGCAAAAGGAAAGGAAAAGAAAGTTTTAGTTGGTCCCGTGGAGTTTGGGGTTCAACCGGCCTTGTACAAGGGGCTTGCTTCATTAGCATTCTGGCTGTTGTAAGCTCATTCCATTTTTGGAGGATTCGCTCCTTGTTCCTGCGGCTGAGGAGCTTCAAGCTCTGCCTCCCTTACTCAACTCTTAATCTATAATAAATTCCTTTCCCCTTTCTGAAATAACACGGCAAGCTTAAGAACCAGTGGTATTGCACAATCCTATCTTTCCTTAAAGTAAGCTCAGAGTGGGAGCAGTTTCTACAGCAAACCATCCATGTTTATTTACTTTTAGTATTTTCATGTGGTGGTAAATATGGTTATTCCTTTCCTATTGAAATTAAGTCAGTTATATTTTCATTTAACTTTATTCTAATATTCACTAGGTTCTGAAGGATTGGCATGGAATACTGGATCGACATCACTTGTTGCTAGGGGCTTGTGAATTAAATTTTGTATCTGAAGAAGATTATATTGACTTGGGTAGGGCTGGTTTGGGAAGTTGTTTACTTGGGGGATTGCCGGGTTGGCTGATTGCTTACTCAGCTTGTCTAGTATATATCTATGCTATATCTAGCTTGCATTTATGGGTTTAGCCTTTTAAAAGATTCTGTTCATCTGAAACATTCGTCTTATGTGAAGGTGAGATTTATCAATTTTGAACAAACTAAGCTTCCTGAGGAGATTTTGAGGCATAATTTGGAAGAAAAGAGGAAATACTTTGCAGATATCTCCATTGAGATTGAAAAAAGTGATACTGAGGTCCAAGTGAATCTTACTGACAGCACCCCCTCCTTTCCAACAACACACATACACACTAAGTTCTCCCTTAGTCTTTGTTTTCCATGTGAACTTGGGATTAGAGTAATATATTGAGAGGTATTCTTGCTGCTAACTATTGTTGATATTTATCCCTTTTGTTTTTGTATGAGACAGGCAGAGGGAGTCTACAACCAAAGGCTTCAAAATTTGGCTCTTACTCTTGACAAGGTATGTTGTTTTTAAATACATTTATGTTTCATAAGAATGGGAGCATGTTTGTTAATGAGTTTCAGACACTAAATGTGACTACTTAAAAACATCATATCTGAATGAATGATATATGAACTATCAAAGATGGTGCCTGTGTAAATGAACCATAATTTCAACACAAGGAGTTGGGTTCAAGTGATCTTGAGACAAATTTTCATTCATGTCTCCATGAGATATAAGCGCTGTTTGCGAAGGAGGATTTTTGTTTTTTTTCACTAAAAGAAAAATTGGTTACAAAACCAAAAAAAACAAATCCAAACAAAATATCACATCAAACCCCATAATCATTTCACTTTTTCTCTCACGGACATCACATCCAACCCCAAAAAAAACCCAACAATCTTCCCAAATACAATTTTTTTTCTCCAATAATATCCTACAACTAAAAAAACCTACAAAAAAAAACCCACTTCCCAAACACCCACATAGTAGGCTGATCGAGGTCTCGGTGCTTGGATTAGAGGTTTTCAATAGAAGAGATGAAAAGCAGTTGTGATCTTATATTTTTTACATTTTGAATGCCTTTTACAGGTGAGGTATGTCATGAGATATGTTTTTGGTGACCCAGAGAAAGCTCCACCACCTCTGGAGAGGTTGAGTCCTGAAGCAGCAGTGTCCTTTCTCTGGAAAGCGGAGGGATCACTTGTAGACGAACTTATTCAGTGCATGGCACCTCATATGGATGATAGCATGCTAAATGACCTTAAGTCCAAGATTCGTGCTCATGATCCATCTGGTTCTGATGACATCCAGAAGGAGCTTCGGAGATCTTTAATATGGTGAGTTTCGTGCACTCTTAATGCATGTTAGTATATTTACTTGGTGGAACAAGCAAATCTCATGGACCTTGTTCATCTTGTTTCAGGCTGAGGGATGAAGTACGAAATCTTCCATGTACATATAAGTGTAGGCATGATGCTGCTGCTGATCTGATTCTCATATATGCTCATACAAAGTGCTTCTTTAGAGTAAAGGTGGGCCTTATCATAATACTTTTTTTTCTTCTTCTTCTTTTTTGGTTTGGAAATTCGAGTAACTTAAAGTTGTAATTGTTTGGCCCTTCTTGGCTTAAATCAGATTTTACTTTTGCCTGCAGGAATACACGGCTGTAACTTCCCCACCTGTTTCCATTAGTCCTCTAGACCTGGGCCCCAAGTACACTGATAAATTGGGGTCAGGTTTCCAGGAGTATCGCAAGACTTACGGTGAAAATTATTGTTTAGGGCAGCTGATTTATTGGCATAACCAGACTAGTGCTGCTGAGCCAGACTCTAGCCTAGCCAGAGCGATTAGGGGTTGTCTGTCGTTGCCTAACATTGGTTCCTTCTATGCCAAGGTCCAGAAGCCATCTCGACATCGTGTTTATGGCCCAAGGACTGTAAAATTCATGTTGGCAAGGATGGTAAGCTTTATTTTTGTTTGCTTTGTCATTATTTGTTAATGTTTCTGGAATACAAGTTGACTTAATCAATTTGTGATATTCTGTAGTAGTAGATCCCTAACATCTTCTTTAGTAGTAGATCCCTAACACCGAGCTTTATCATATTGGTAATTTTTCTTTTAAAATTCCACTTTAGTGTTGCTTATGATTGGCTTCCTTGTAATATAAATATTATAACTGGCATTAACCGGTCTAATTATACCCTGGGCAGTCAAATTTGTTCCATAAATTGTAATAAAACATATTAGCGTTAACCTCTTGACTAACTCTATAATGGAGCTCCTAAAATATTTTATGTAATAAATGTTTCTAAACTCTTTATTAGAGAATTTATAGTTGAATTGCTCGAGAACTCTATAGGAATACTAAACTGACGACCTGATTGTATTGCAAATTACTAATTAATTTAAATGTGCCAAAGTCATAAATAAATGTGAGAAAAAAAAATAAAATTCTGTTAGTTATGGTGGATGGTTGTTGAATATTTTTATTAATTTAAAACAAGGAGAGCTTTAAGTTGGTTGTGGCATTATGCAACCATGGCAAAGCCAACCCAGGATGGTCATGATGGCATCTGGATGGATGGAGTTGGTTTAGGGTTCATTTTGTACAATGGGCCAAAAGATGAATCAAGTAGTTTGAGGCACCCTTAAGATTGGAGGATCAAATTGCACCAGTGGGGTCATTTTGTAGTTGTTATTGCCTTACTTCATGTATATTTTGATTATCCAGCAGCTCATGTCCTTGAGACAAACTAGTTTCTTAACTGGTCCATTTCTGTTGTTTCACCAGGAAAAGCAGCCCCAGAGACCATGGCCCAAGGACCGGATATGGTCCTTCAAGAATTCGCCTAAAATATTTGGCAGTCCAATGCTAGATGCTGTTTTGCATAATTCTCCACTAGAGAGGGATTTGGGACATTGGTTGAAGGACAGACCGGCCATTTTTCAGGCCATGTGGGATAGATGAACTTTAACAGGTTAGCAGATTAGCAAAGCATTGCGGAAGCAGCAATGGGTGTTTATCAATCCCGTTATTCAGAATGATTCTTCCATTTTAGTTATAGTTCCCCTTTTGTGTGGGAGTGTAGGTAATCATTCACAGAATCAAAAACATTCCTTGTGCTGCTGTGTCTTCATTCTTGTGTACAGTTTCAATAGGTTCTCAATATATTTTTTTTTTAATTTTTTTTTTTTTTGTAATTTGAATTCATTATTGGTAGTAGTGCAGTTTTTTTTATATTTTTCTTTTCCCCTAATTTAAGGGAAAAAAGGTAAAAGGAAGAAAATATTTCAAGATAGCTTACCATCTTTTCATTATTCTTGTCATTTCACGGTGTTCAAACTTTCTTTCCGGCTATTGGAATGTCAGCACTTCTTCTCATCACGATTGTAACTTTTTGGGAGAGGCATGTAGTCTGATGAGCTATATTGTGTAGATTAGGGCCTGTGTGAAGTTTTGGGTTGAAATAAACTTCAACATAGACTGCATCAGCTCTTACTGTGCCAGAAGATATTTGAATTATCACTGTGATTTCTTCCTCGAGCACTTGCATAGTCTGTATTTTCTTAATGTTTGTTTCACGATTGCTGCATGGTTTGTGATTGAAGGTTGCGAGTTTTGGTGTGGGCATTGGCCTATTTGGCGCTGGAATGATTGGCCTCTGGCCAGCTTTTGCAAGAGGCTATATAGTGTTTTATTAATAATACAGTGCACTAGTGCATTGTGGAGAGGGATTTTTTTTTCTTTAGAAAATAAGCAGTTTAAAGTAATTGTGGGACTTTTTTTTTTCTTTCTTTTTTTCTTTTCTGTTTTTCCACAAATTAATGGATGCCAAATTGGAGTTTATAACTGTTAAAAAAAGACTCAATGCATGATGATTCTGTTAAAATGGGGTTTTGTAAGTGTCGGGTGCATGCCAGCTTTATGTGTGTTTTTTTTGCAAGGTTGTTTATACTTTTTTCAAGTTTCTGTAGTTATTATGAGAGCCTTATACACTGGGTTGTCCTCTGGACTCTTTTTGACACAAATTGATGGGTGTAAAATTGGATATTTAGGAGAACTTTTTATGAAGATGCATGGAGATGCCTGAAACTTCGTCACTCATTTTGTGTTTTGGTGTTTTTGTTATTTTATGAAATAATATTGGATGTGAAGAAAAGTTGAAAATTGTACGAAGATAAGAGGTTGCATTGCAAGTGTGAGAAATTTGCGTGAAAATGGGTAGATCACAGGTGGTGAATGCTTGTATGTGTCATTAGAGTGGAAGCGGGGTCACTGCTGTGCCTCTCCTTGCTGTGCCTAAAATGGCACAATTTTATCTTTTTTTTATTTTTTTTATTTTTATTTTAGGGTTTAGAGTTTAAGGTTTAGGGTTTAATTCTTAAAATTTACTCTTTTTTTTTTAATTTTAGGATTTAGGGATAAAATTTTTTTTTTTAATTTTATTTTAGGGTTCAAGATTTAATTCTTAAAATTTATTTTTTTTATTTTAAGGTTTAGGGTTTAAGTCTTAATTTTTTTTTATTTTAGGGTTTTGGTTTAATTCTTAAAATTTATTATTTTTATTTTACAATTTAAGGTTTAGGGTTTAATTTTTTAAATTTATTTATATTGCAAGACACGATCAAAGGCTTCTTGATATGCCAGGTATGGAAAGTGCGAAAATTCACCCCTCTAAACGCGTGCGAGCACACATTCTTTTCCTGCTACTAAGTTGTCCATTAAGAAGCATGAACACTTTAGCAGAGGATTTGACACTCGTGTCCGGCACCAACACTTTTTGGACACTCCTAAAAATGTGTCTTATTTAAAAAATTAAATTCATAATATCGAACACTTTAGTGACACTTCTTGAACCTTTTCTGAACACATCCTATGTGATGAATTCCTTTATAATAACAAAGTTTTTGCATTCTTTAGACCACAATTTTTGTACTCTAAATATGTTTTGAAATATTTATAAGATAAATATATCATATGTACTACAATTTTCTATTGTAGTTTTGCATTCTTCAGAGAGTAATTGTTACGTGATTGACATTTTGATGTTTAATTTAAGAAATATTGAGCCTTTCAATGTAATTTGTAATATTACATATTTTTCATTATCTTTGAATTGGTGGTGCAGTTGCAGAAGATGGAGAAAAGTGGAGCATGGGACAAAGGCAGCTTGTGTGTCTTGCTCGGGTGCTGCTACATAGGAGGAAAATATTGGTCTTGGATGAGGCCACGGCATCAGTAGACACAGCAACAGAAAATGTGATTCAATGGAGAATCAGAGAAGAAACAAGCCGGTGCACGGTCATAACAATGGCCATCGGATATCCACCATCATTGACAATGACCTTGTTCTGGTTCTCGATGAAGGTAAGACTTATAAATTTATGAAAACATATTTTCAACTGTGCAAAGAAAAACCAACTATAATGAAACATGATTGACATTTCAAGATAAATTTGATAATACTAAAGCCAAACTAAGACTTGTATCATAATCAGATAAGATCGGCTACTGGAATCATTTTCACTATCATGCTTTGCCAAGGTTATATACTCAATTAAATACTTAGATGGGGTTTGGCAATTACTTTTCTATTATTTTTTTTCATTTTTTGGGCTTTTGAATAATTTTCCCTATTGTATTGTGGAGCCCTTTTCAGAGACACGGTGGAATTTCTGAAAGTATTGAAGGTAAAATCATCTTTTCACAAAATTGCTAAAAACAAATTACTTTTTTATGAAAATCCATCCCAAGCTTCTTTTTTTTTTTTTTGTAATAGAAAAAACTACTTATTTAGTTCTTCCAAAGCAAAGCCTAAAAAAAGTTGATGTGTTTGCTTAAAAGTTACTTTTTAAAATCTTTTCAAACTTGTTTTTTAGTGAGAAATTATTATATTACCCTTACAATACTGTGGAGTCCTTGTAGGGACATGGTGAAATTTCTAAAAGTATTGAGAGTAAAAGTTGTCTTTTTACAACTATGCATTTAAAAAATAGATTTTATTGTTATTATTAATGGAGAAGCCATCCCAAACAAGCTTATTTGCTTTTGGCTTTCTTAGCAAAAAAAAGCTACTTATTTAAGTTCTTCCCAAACAGGATTTAAACTTGGTAGTACTAACACGGAAAATATCAAATTGCTTACATTAGGATCTTGATTAATGTAGGCAAGGTTGTTGAGTATGATTCGCCAACTGAGTTGCTCAAAAACAGTTCTTCTGCTTTCTCAAAGCTGGTAATGCAATTCATGAGGAGGTCTTCTAGCGGTAACAAGCATTGGGGTCTGCCTTGAGAACCATGGCAGAGACTACCCATGAAGCTCAAGCAAGTTTCACTATGTAAAAGTCAAACACAAAAAAGGGGTTCCAACCAGTTCATCCCGGTGTGAGATTGTACACGACATGAGTTGGTGAAAAGAATGGAAGCAGAACAAAGAGATCTGAGAACCCGAGAAATTCATGACTGAAGAAGAAACTAGAAGAATGTACAGTTTTTACTTCAAGAATACAGGACTAACATGTCAAAAACTTGTAACTGTTGAAGCAACACGAAGGGTATTTGTTGAAATGATCAGAATATGCAGTTGCTAAGCAATCTCAATTGCTATTCATGGCAATACTAACAATTGTTGCCAATGATAAGATCTAAAGTTGTCTAAATCACGCCTTCAGTGAGGTTTTTATGGTTGAATTTAGAAAAATTTCGTCAATATTTTGCACATTTGATACTAGCATTTGTTAAATTTGATGAATTTGCTATCCTTGCAATCTTCTAGTATTATTTGTGTTGTAGAGGGGACTAAGTGTACTAGGTATCATCAACACCTACATCACAATTTTGATGCATTTGTGTGGTATCATAAGCATAAGCTTAACGGTTGTGGCAATCAAAGGAGTGTATTTTTTTTATTTACAAAAATCTACCAATACGTATATTTTTATTTTCAATCACATTTATTGGGTTTAAAATCAAGAGCCATCATTTTCTAGTTTAGCATTATGAACATTCTAAGATATATACATATACACACATATATAATAAAGCTGACCAATTTTTGAAAAATTGTCTTATGTGGCATAGTTGACAGTTCATATGAATAAGTCTAAAGCTTAGAAAATGAAAATAAATAAAAATAAACAAAAGGTCTTATGTGGCGTAGTTGAGAGTTAAGATTGAATAAATCTAACGGTTAGTGTTATTTCTCAAATAAGGAAGTGCCTTCACATATAGATAATTTAGCTAGTATAGAACAATACACTTCATTAAACGACAAACCTAATTCGAACTAGAAGAGGAAGAAGACAATCACAAAAGGGAGAAGAAATGAAACCTAACTCCCTGCCAAACCAAGGACTAAACCTCCTCAGTTTGCTTGTACTCAGGAGACAAGACAGGATGCTTCCCTGTAGCAATCAGAAATAGAACGTTACTAAAGTGGTCGGTCGCTGAATAAGAAACACTGGGAAACAAAACTCAACAACTTACTAACAGGGAATGTGGTGGGCGATTCAAAAAAACACGAAAAATCTCCTTTTCATACACTATGCAAGTAAGTTCGGTACTAATGCATCAGCAGGATATGCCAAGATGCCATTGTAGGCCAGTAGACCCCATCCACAGTTTCAATTAAAAGATGCTCAAAAACACCAAGCTCAGAACTTTAATCAATTGAACAGTAAATCATTTTTGTTTCAGTGAGTGGTTTCAAACAAAACTTGGAATCATTGTACACAGTACTTGTAAATTTTTCATTTTTTTCTTTTTTTGGGCTTTTGAATACTTTTCCCTATTGTGTTGTGGAGCCCTTTTTAGAGACACGGTGGAATTTCTGAAAGTATTGAAGGTAAAATCATCTTTTCACAAAATTGCTAAAAACAAATTGCTTTTTTATGAAAACCCATCCCAAGCATCTTTTTTTTTTTTTTTTTTGGTAACAGAAAAACCTACTTATTTAGTTCTTCCAAAGCAAAGCCTAAAAAAAGTTGATGTGTTTGCTTAAAAGTTACTTTTTAAAATCTTTTCAAACTTGTTTTTTAGTGAGAAATTATTATATTACCCTTACAATACTGTGGAGTCCTTGTAGGGACATGGTGAAATTTCTAAAAGTATTGAGAGTAAAAGTTGTCTTTTTACAACTATGCATTTAAAAAATAGTTTTTATTGTTATCATTAATGGAGAAGCCATCCCAAACAAGCTTATTTGCTTTTGGCTTTCTTAGCAAAAAAAGCTACTTATTTAAGTTCTTCCCAAACAGGATTTAAACTTGGTAGTACTAACACGGAAAATATCAAATTGCTTACATTAGGATCTTGATTAATGTAGGCAAGGTTGTTGAGTATGATTCACCAACTGAGTTGCTCAAAAACAGTTCTTCTGCTTTCTCAAAGCTGGTAATGGAATTCAAGAGGAGGTCTTCTAGCGGTAACAAGCATTGGGGTCTGCCTTGAGAACCGTGGCAGAGACTACCCATGAAGCTCAATCAAGTTTCACTATATAAAAGTCAAACACAAAAAAGGGGTTCCAACCAGTTCATCCCGGTGTGAGATTGTACATGGCATGAGTTAGTGAAAAGAATGGAAGCAGAACAAAGAGATCTAAGAACCCGAGAAATTCATGGCTGAAGAAGAAACTAGAAGAATGTACAGTTTTTACTTCAAGAATACAGGACTAACATGTCAAAAACTTGTAAATGTTGAAGCAACACGAAGGGTATTTGTTGAAATGATCAGAATATGCAGTTGCTAAGCAATCTCAATTGCTATTCATGGCAATACTAACAATTGTTGCCAATGATAAGATCTAAAGTTGTCTGAATCACGCCTTCAGTGAGGTTTTTATGGTTGAATTTAGAAAAATTTCCTCAATATTTTGCACATTTGACACTAGCATTTGTTAAATTTGATGAATTTGCTATCCTTGCAATCTTCTGGTATTATTTGTGTTGTAGAGGGGACTAAGTGTACTAGGTATCGTCAACACCTACATCACAATTTTGATGCATTTGTGTGGTATCATAAGCATAAGCTTAACGGTTGTGGCAATCAAAGGAGTGTATTTTTTTTATTTACAAAAATCTACCAAGACGTATAATTTTATTTTCAATCACATTTATTGGGTTTAAAATCAAGAACCATCATTTTCTAGTTTAGCATTATGAACATTCTAAGATACATACATATACACACATATATAATAAAGCTGACCAATTTTTGAAAAATTGTCTTATGTGGCATAGTTGATAGTTCATATGAATAAGTCTAAAGCTTAGAAAATGAAAATAAATAAAAATAAATAAAAGGTCTTATGTGGCGTAGTTGAGAGTTAAGATTGAATAAATCTAACATTATTTCTCAAATAAGGAAGTGCCTTCACATATAGATAATTTAGCTAGTATAGAACAATACACTTCATTAAACGACAAACCTAATTCGAACTAGAAGAGGAAGAAGACAATCACAAAAGGGAGAAGAAATGAAACCTAACTCCCTGCCAAACCAAGGACTAAACCTCCTCAGTTTGCTTGTACTCAGGAGACAAGACAGGATGCTTCCCTGTAGCAATCAGAAATAGAACGTTACTAAAGTGGTCGGTCGCTGAATAAGAAACACTGGGAAACAAAACTCAACAACTTACTAACAGGGAATGTGGCGGGCGATTCAAAAAAACAAAAAAAAATCTCCTTTTCATACACTATGCAAGTAAGTTCGGTACTAATGCATCAGCAAGATATGCCAAGATGCCATTGTAGGCCAGTAGACCCCATCCACAGTTTCAATTAAAAGATGCTCAAAAACACCAAGCTCAGAACTTTAATCAATTGAACAGTAAATCATTTTTGTTTCAGTGAGTGGTTTCAAACAAAACTTGGAATCATTGTACACAGTACTTGTAAATTTTGAGACAAATAGAATCCCAAGGTATTAATGCAACTATGTTTTCATGTTTGCCAACTGGAATCTGAAATCAATTTCATCCAAAATGGTATCCCTGCCATATCATATCTTGTGTAATACAAATCAATTTCATCCCATATATTTTAATTGATTGATCTATCTTTTTTTTTAGCATGTGTTCCTTTGGTCTTTAGTATCCAAATTCGAGTTCAACTTAAATTTGTCATTTTTGTAAATTTGTGACTTTAATGTTTGACTTGATTGACTGGGAATTGTCTTTAGTAATTGGTCATTTTTAGTAACTGAGAATTTCCTTTATTATAAATAAGTCTATAAACCTTAGAGTGATCTATTTTGCTCCTCTTATAATCTTTTGATTTAAAAGAATTATAGAAGAGTTGTCGTCACTTGTTACTGCTAATTGACATACCATCTTTTCAAGCATGGACACAAAAGTGATGAAAAGAAATTTGCAAATATAAAACTTCATTGAGTTATATGTTTGATTGATGTCATGGATCTACAACTTGGCAGCTTCCAAGACACCATAAAATATGCAATACCAATCTTCACATTTCAAAGCTAAAAGGTACTTGCAAACAAACTCTTCTTGGCAAAGGTAGGTGTTGATAGGAAAAATATAGTTCCAAATAAATAAATAAATAAAATAACTATTAAAATTGGTCTTTAAAACTGATAAAAATAAATATAAAAAGCAGTCTATTTCAAGAAAATTATACGAAAATGATAAATATTTTTTATTTTTTTATTTATTTTTTATTTTATTTGAAATTTCCATTTGCTTTCACATATCTCTATCCATCCTTGGACAACTTTCACACGCTAATGGATCTACAACTTGGCAACTTCCAAGACACCATAAAATATGCAATACCAATCTTCACATTTCAAAGCTAAAAGGTACTTGCAAACAAACTCTTCTTGGCAAAGGTAGGTGTTGATAGGAAAAATATAGTTCCAAATAAATAAATAAATAAAATAACTATTAAAATTGGTCTTTAAAACTGATAAAAATAAATATAAAAAGCAGTCTATTTCAAGAAAATTATACGAAAATGATAAATATTTTTTATTTTTTTATTTATTTTTTACTTTATTTGAAACTTCCATTTGCTTTCACATATCTCTATCCATCCTTGGACAACTTTCACACGCTAGTCATTAAAGTATGGATCTCTATATGGTGCACACAAAAAAAAAATAATTTTAAAAAAAGTTTTTGCAGTTGACAAAAGTACCCTTACATGAACAAGAAAATACAACATGGCACAAACATGGAATCCCTTTTGGCCACAACTTTTAACTTTAGATTATTTGGATTATACTTTGAAAAATCTGATAGAAGTCATTTGTTGCAATCTAATTTATATAGTTTAATCAGTTTATAACATCTTTAATGGCAGGTTATAATTTTAGTTAAAGTTAAAATTTAGCAAATCTCCTAAAAAAAATTATTATTTGATGATAAAGTGTATGATGTAAAGTTAAAATTAATAGAATATAGATCACACTTACAATAAATATGATTTACAAATTTTTTTTATGAGTAATTTTTGTTCATATTGTTGGGTTAAATATATTTAAGAGTCCACAAACAAAGTTATTTGACCATCATTACAAGAAATTATCTAGCAGATCGACTAATGTGTTTCGAAAAACAATCCACTCACTATTAAGATTTTATCAAAATAGTATATGTACAATATTGATGTCAGGGATGGACCGGGGAGGGGGGCTGGCAAGGGCGACCGCCACCCCCGAAGTTTTGAAAAAACTCCTTAGATATAGTAATAAAATTTCAAATATTTTAAAATTATATAGGTTCGCCACCCCAAAGTTTTTGCAAAAAATTTAAGGACCGCTACCCCAAAAAGGCATGATCAGTTGAAAGTTGCTCAAGTTGAAGAAATTGCAGCAAAACTTGCCATTGATGAAATTGAAACTAGTAAAGGCAAAAATCAAGTTGGGACATTGAAACGGGCTGGAGATACTCAATGGGGTTCTCACTTGGGATCTATTTCCAGTTTGATAAATATGTTTAGTGCAACATTTTCAGTCTTAAGTAATGTCATCAATGATGGAGCCACCTCTACTCAACATGCAGATGTAGATGGAGTTTATGATAAGATTACATCTTTCGAGTTTGTGTTTATCTTACATCTTATGAGAGATATTATGGGGACTACTGATGTCTTTGCCAAGCTTTGCAACGTAAATCCCAAGATATATTGAATGCAATGCATCTAGTGTAACCTACAAAAGCACTTGTTCAAAAATATAGAGAAGATGGATGGATTCCTTTGTTGCAGAATGTTCAACTATTTTGTGGAAAATATGACATAGATATTCCTGATATGAGTGCTCATTACACATCTAGTAGAGATCGTGCTTGTCACCAAAAAGATCACATTACTATTGAGCATCATTTTCAGGTTGATATTGTTACAATTATTTGTGACTCTCAATTGCAAGAATTGAACAACAGATTCAAAGAAGATGTGATGGAGTTACTTATTCTTAGCTATGCTTTAGATCCTAGGGATGATTACAGTTCGTTCAAAATTGAAGATATATGCAAGCTTGCAAATCAATTTTATCCTAATGACTTTATAGTGCAAGAAAAAATATATTTGAAAATCCAATTGCAAAGCTACGAGATTGATATCCTTAAACATCTTGAGTTTCAACAGTTGTTAACAATTTCTGACTTGTGCCAAATGTTGGTAAAAACAAGGAAGTCAACAATTTATCCTTTTGTCGATAGATTAATTTGTCTTGGTCTAACTTTACCAGTTTCTATGGCGACAACAAAACGTGCATTTTCGGCCATGAAAATTTTAAAGACTAGATTGCGCAATAGGATGGAGGATGATTTTCTTTCAAGCTACTTGTTAACATATGCTGAGAAAGACATTGCTCAAGATTTTGATGTAGATTCCATCATAGATGCTTTTTATATTATGACAGAACGTCGAGCATAACTTTATATGCCTAAGTAGATATGTAGAGCAAATAGTTACTTTTTTGAAAATTAATATGGATTTACTAAAAGATATCCAATTGTATTTTGATAATATTTTGTAATTATATACGACAAATGGAAACATCTAATTATATATTTTTGTGATATTTTGGTAGAAATTGATATTGTATATCACATGCTCATTACAAATTTTTTGATTGCATATACACTCGCCCCCCCTCCCCAACATCAGAATACTGCGTCCGTCCCTGATTGATGTCATGTATTACAGTTCTCGTATCTATAAACAATAACAAAAATGGTTGAGAGCTCTAAATCAAGAGCTCTAATGAGTGGGACCCAACATTGAAGTGATGTTTTGGCCTTCTTCTTTTTCTTTTTTTTCTTATTGCCACATAAGTAGAGCTTAATTTAGAACTCTACTTTTAGAGCTCTCTATCAACACCCAAAAAAAAAGTCATAGGCAATGGCCGGGGCCCATTATCACATCATTAGTGGTGCTATAGCACCACTTTTAGTGCTCTGAATTATTTTTCATCTATAAATTGGTAGATGACAATGGAAAAGGGGTGGAACATGAAAATTAAGGAGGATAATAACCATTTTCTATGTAAGACCTTGGATTTGCAAAAGATAAATAAAGTTTGTAATAAATTTTTTCCTTCTCTTTTTCCATTTTTTTTCTCCCCCCTCCACATGTTCTTGTTTAAATCCAAAACTCAACGTTATTTCAACAATCCATAATTCTACTTTTGTCTTTACTGTTAAGGTAGATAAAACGGCAAGATGATCTACCGAATCTCTCACGTGCATAGGAATGAAGTGCGCCGACTTAGTCAACCGGTCTACAACCACCCAAATAGCATCACTACCCCGCTGAGTACTCGGAAGATAAAAGTCCATGGGAACTTGTCTCTCAAAGTTCTATTTTTTATAAAAAAAAATTCTTATTATTGTAATAGTATTATTCATAAATATTATCAAATTATATAAATTTGTCCTTTAAGATTATTTTAAAATTCAATACATGTCCCTTTATTAATCTTGATTATTTGAAATTAGAATCTTACGTCCGTCTATCAATATGGATAAGCAAATAGTACGGATGATCTTTATATATTTCTCAGTCTTCCTTTGGAAACTATAGGATAAATTATACTAATGGTTCCTATAACTTACTTCTTATATTAATTTAGTTCCTATAGTTCTGATTGTATTAATTTTGCCCTTTAAGTTTTTACGCTATGCCAATTTCATTTTGAAAAATCTAGAAATCCCCTAGATATTGATTTGTGATTATGTATCAATTTTAAGCAATATATAGCAATCTCAATCAAACAATCAAGACAAATCGACACAACGATTTTACGTGGAAAAACCACAATTGGACACCTCCAATTGTGATAAAAAACCACGGGCAACAGCCACAAAACAATCCACTAAGAAGATATAAAGGAATTATACAAGTATACTCTCAATTACCTAGTGAATCCACGCCCGAACCAACCTCTATGTGCCTCTTCCGTCTTCACCTCGGAATTGTCTTGACGATGAGCCACTCCGGAATCCACCAAAGCTTCAGGCTCAAATTCTTCAGAATCCACCGAAGAACAACTCTCTCTTTTATGTAGAACAAACAAATAATCCTTTGATGTATACTCTTTTAAACCATGAGTTGAATACTCAATCAAAACATCAAAGAAAATTAGCAAAATATCCCCAGAGATAAACCTTAGAATCCAAAAAGAAGATCTGGAGAACTTATCCCAGTTTTGGGAGAAAACCAACTACTTATAGAAATCGAAAGTAATCCTGGTTTTGGAAGAAAACCAATTCCTTATAGAAATCCAAGAATTTGTGTTTGCGCGGTCTACTCGAGCGTGGGAATTCCCGCTCGAGCGGAGGCTTCAAAATTGTGTGATTCATATAGGCTTCACGCTCGAGCAGAAGTTTCCACGCTCGATCGTCGAATCACACCATCCAGTACTTTTTTAGGCGAAGCAGAGATGCTGTGAGCTTGCAATCCCCGCTCGAGCGTCACTTTCCCCGCTCGAGCAGGACGACCAAAATTGGAAAATCTAGAAAACTTGATCCTCTTACAACCTCGGTTCTGATCCATGGAGATTGACAAAGGCACGATTCGGGTTGGATTCGCATCTAATAAACTCATAGCCTCACTGAAATAAAAGGTGCGAAAACAAATATAACTGAAAGGAGTTTTGTCAAACGGGGTTGCCAAGAATAAAACCTAACAATCTCCCCCTTTGGCAATACCGTGACAAAACACACCTAACAAATAAAATCCTAAACACCCTAACCCATTACAACCAACAAAACCCAACTTCTTTCTCAAGGTCTTGATCTGCAAAACAGTTATTAGTGCCACAATCTCCAAAACAACTATTAGTCCCACAAGAGTATATGAAAAAGCAATATACATATGACACGATTATCTTGAAACATGAGATGGAAAACATGAATAGATGAAAACTAAGACTCATGAAAAATAACTCTCAAACGACAAGCAAGATCATAAACCAACCCAAGTCAAGATGAACCAAACTCCCCCTTGCTAAAAGCAACCAGAAACACTGAAAACAGTGAACAAGAAGAAAACGACAAAAATAATATGGTGGAACAAGCAAGGAATTTCACATTTGTACCTTAAAACCCACAAGATTATCCAAGAAGCACAATTACTAGTAAACATAATGTGCACAGTCTGTAGAAAATTCCTCATGAAAGAAAGTAATGCATTATGTTAAAAGCATAGATCCCATGATAAAAGTGTGTGTGTGACTCTTGGAGTTTGACAAACACTAGATTCAATCCTAGTAGTGATCTGAAAGTTGGACCTCCGACAAGAGAATCCAAGCACAACAAAGGAAAGTCAAACCACTAGAAATCAAGGGGTATTTGGTGAGTAAAGGCGGAGGCTCCCCCTCAATCAATAAATCCTTTTTTTTTTTCCTTTTTTTTTTTACATCTTTTTCTTTTCTTTCTTTCGCATATTTTTTCTTTATTTTGCATAATTTTTTCTTCTTCTCTTTCTTTTTCTTTTTCTTTTTCTCTTTCTTATTCTTTTGCACACTCATTGGCGGCTGACACGCTCAAGAGTATGGAAACCGAACCAGAGAAGCATGGATATAATAAGGATGGCCTGGTTGGTGACTCTGAGGTAGCCTTTTACCGATATGAACAACAAAGCCTCCATAAATTTGTACATTACAAACTTGAAATGATCCAAAGGGGCCTTCAAGTGATCCAGTATCAAATATCTATAACCTCAAAGAAGAATGTAAGATGTCAAATTCTATTCTTAACAGGAAAAATATGTAAATCATATATGACAACAGTCCATCGAATATGCAAACTAAAAAAAAAAAAAAAGAGTAGAACCAGAAAAAAAGGAAAGCTGCACGCAAGCTTAAATACTATGTAAACCAAAATACATTATATGTTCAAGAATTGTGGATTTCTTCCATACTATCGTGTATCTATGAGATCTCCAATATCCAAAACTAAGAGAAACAAATTAATACTCAAAAATCTAGAAACCTCCTAGATGTTGATTTGTTATTATGTATCAATTTTAAGCAGAATATAACAATTCCAATCAAACAATCAAGACACAGACACAACGATTTTACGTGAAAAAATCACA